AGACAAAGACAGACAGACAGAGAGATTGGCCTCCAAATCAGTAAACTCTGGATTGAAATCTCACCTCTAATACATGCTAGCTGTGTGACCCTAGGCAAGTTGCTTAACCCTGTTTGCCTCAGTTCCCTCATCTGTAAAATGAGCTGGAGAAGGAAATGACAAATCACTCTAGTATCTTCTCCAAGAAAACCCCAAAATGGGGTCACCAAGAGTTGGACAAGACTGAAAAATGATAGTACAACAAAATAGCCCACTCAGCCATATGCCTGAAGAGTTCTGGGTACAAAGTATATGAGTCTGAGAATGAAACTGAAATAGATCATCTAATCTAGGATTGGTGAACTACCTCCAGAGGACCAAAACATGTTTTTAAAAAATACTTTTAAATATATTAAAACTTTATTTAAAAATATAAAATCCACTCTCAGCTCATGGACAGCAGAATTTGGCCCAGGGGCAAATGCTCCAATTACTTCTCTCTGGGGCCAGGTGGTTTGCCAGGTGCTGTCAAACTTGGTTTTACAAATGAGAGTGCTGAGGCTCAGAGAGGTTAAAGGGCTTCATCAGAGCCTAGGCTCATAACTATAGAGCTAGAAGGAACCTTAGCACCCATATAACCCCCTGATTTTAAGGCCCAGAGAAGCTGTGACTTGCCCAAGGTCTCCTAGGTATTAAGTGGCTGAACTGGGATTTTGAATCCAGGCCTAACGTGACTCAGACAGTTCTTTCCAATGTAGCACTCTGATTGCTCAAATAAAGCAGATTGTTCATGTCCTATCCCTACACAACACCTTGGGCACCAGCCCCCCTTTAAAATCTGAGGTTCTGGCTTCTGATCTTCTGATGGGGATCGCGCATAATACTTCTAATTCTCCTCTTATTCCATATCCCCTCACTCTTGACAGCAACACATTCCTTACCTCTCCCATCCATAACCTGGCAAGGCTGGGGTTGTTTGATATATCTACATCAAAATTATTCCCTCCTGGGAACTCGAAATCCAAAGGATTTAAGCAAAGGCTTCCCCTAGGGGCGAATGGCATTTTCGAAGATAATTAAAACGGTCGCCAAAATTGGGCATCTGGTGAGGCGTTTATCATTTGTTTACAAAATGACACAGGAAAGAGGAGCAGGCATCTTAATTCCTGCAAAGTGAATAGCCAAATAAGCCATGGTATAAAATGGAAAATTATGCAATTTGTACTCATTATGAGGTCACCTGATGGAGTCATAAATCAGTGAGTGTTTTACAGCACTTTTGACCAGTAAAAAACAAAGGGACTGTGCACCAAGGCATCCGGTTCCTAAATGAGAACAGCCTGAAGTCGTGTACTTTGATGGATGCCTGTATCTCTTCATTGTTATTATTCAGGAATCTCAGAAGCATTTGCCTTTGGAAGACTAAAACACCTATTTGAGGACGCTGATCTGACCTTTGATCTGAATTACAACTGGCGGCCTACTGGCAGCAATGCTAACAGAACCCCTACTCCTCCACCCCCATCGCTGATACCTAGTGGTGAAGTAGAAAGTCAATCAGTTAATTAATTAATTGATCACACAATCATATTGATCTATAATTCCAAGGAACCTGAAAAGCCACCTACTTGAACTGCCTCATTCTATTAATAAGGAAACTGAGGCCCATAAAGGTTAAGTGATTAATTATTTGCCAAGGTAAATCCACATTTTTTAAGCACATGCTATGTTCCAGGCAGTATACCAAGTGCTGGAGATAAAAATATAAAAGCAAAAACAGCCCTTGCCTCTAAGGAGCTTTCCAGTCTAGTCAGAAGAAATAGGAATATTATATATATATATATACATACATACATACATATACACACACATATATACACACGTGTGTGTATATGCATATATGTATACATATATCCATACACATATATATGTGTGTGTATGTAGAGAGAGACAGAGATAGATCTAGATCTATACACACATAGATATATATCTATGTCTGTCTCTATGTATATACATATATAACACATATATATGTGTTTATATATCTGTGTGTGTTTACAAGGAGAGAGGCACCAGCACCTGGGGGGGAGTCAGTACTGGATAGAGAGAGGGAAGAGCAGCGTTCAAATTCTGGCTCTGATATTACTACTTGTGCAGTAAAGTCGCCAGGATCTTTCACTTTGGGACGAGTCACTTTTTTTCCTGGGGCTCAGCTTCCTCCCCTATGAAAGGAGGGAACAGGATTAGAAGAAATGATTTCTAAGGATCGAATCCTTGGTCCTATAATCGAACTCTAAGAATCAGAAATAACACCCACCTCCTGACTGAGAGGTGAACTATGCAGAATGAACCACACGTTCTTGAAAGTCAGTACTTGGCTTGTTTGGCTTGACTATGCATACTTGTTACAAGGATTTTTTTTCTTTTTTTTCCAGAAATTAGGGAAGAGAAGGGTAGAGGAAGAGATAGATTTCCCCTACAGCAACACCAGCAAAAGAGAAGAGAATAGAAGGAATCATAGACAAATAGGACAGCTTCGAAAGTTACATGATGAATGTATTCTATCCTTTTTTTTTCGACACTGGGTCTCCCTCTTTCTCTCAGGCTGTAGGTGCAGTTGATCCCTCTCTGAAGTGGCATGAGAGCTTTGGCCCACTTGTTTCTCACTTAGGTCAGTTTGCTCCTTCCCTGTTCCCAGGGGGCCACCATATTGGTGTAGACCTAGAGCAGATATTCTTTAAGTTTCACCCACTGCAGCTCAGAACTCCTGTGCACAAGTGATCCACTTTCTTCAGTATCCTCAAAGCAGAGACTATAAGTGAGTGCCACCATGCTCTGCCTAGTATATACCTTAAAAGAAAAGCAAGTTCTACATAATATTGAATTTCATGTTCAATTTTCTGTTCCACAAAATATATAGAAATGCTCATCTTACCTGGTGTGAAGTTTAGAATTTAGAAAGAATAATGGAAATTTTGATTTAAAATAAAGATAAAGAAAGCTTTTTTAAAAATAGCAAGTAGAAATAAACACTAATCAATGACAAAGTGAAAAGAGCAGGGCCTGGGAGGTTAAGGAAATCTGGGTTCGACTCCTGGCTTTGCTATTTACTGAGCCAGTGGCCTTCTACAAGTTATTTCCTCTCTGGGGGTCTCAGTTTTATAACCTGTCAAATAAGCAAGTTGTTTAAGAAGTGCAAATGATTTTTAAAGTTCTGACAGTTCTGATATTCTATGTTCTATGTGAATAAACATCAGACTTCCAACTTTCAGGGCTCCACATTGCTCATATCCCTGCTTGAGCTAGCAGATGAAAGAATAGTTGTACCATCAGGTTGAAAGGGAAGATGATATCTCCTTAAGCAAAGGTGCCGACTGCATAGTAAATGAACCTTGACAGATTTAGCACTCACCTCCTGGAAGGCACAACAAAAAAATGGGATTTACATAATCTTCTTCTTTTTCTTCTACAGTTTCTGTTCCTATTCTTGTTCTTCTCTCTTGCCTTTATTCTTTGGCCTTGATGTCAAGGTGCCTCTTAAAGGTAAGATGCTATTTAGTTCTCAAAATATGGTACCAAGGGGATATTGGTTAAGCAATTCAGCTCTATGTGAATGCGATGATGTTGGCGCTCAACGTCACACTTATTAACCAACAGCAAGGTGACAAAAATTGTCGCCCACACACAGTGGTTCCCATCAAGTGGCTCATGAGTCTCTTGGGGCTTCGCACTAAAATGTCTTTAGTGGCACTGTAAGCAGGAAATAATTGCAGGATGTTATGGGTAGGACACTCGCTTACGCTGGGGGTTCATAGCACATTTTGTTGTTTTTGTTGAAAGAGGGTCACAGACCAAAAACAACAACAACAACAACTTGGGAACCACTGCCCTAATATATCGAACTCCCTGTAGTGGGAAGGAAAAGCCATTGAGCCATGTCCAAAAAACAAGGTAATTGGGTGGTACATAGGAAACAGTAGTGATACGGGAGCCAAGAGATGTGCCCTACTTCTGCCTCTTCCTTCTACTGTCTATCTCCACACTGAGCCATTTTATTGGGAAATAAAATGACACAGTATAGCTTTTTAAGAAGGTCAGATTGACAAAAGATATCTCTACTCCTTGACAAAGAGTCCTGACCAGTGTGAACCTCAGACAATTTAATTAATCTCTGTGGACCAGTTTCCCCATCTAGGCCTCCTGCCATAAGTAACGAGCTGATTTTGCTTTTTTCAAATGAGGAGGTTTGACAGGATCTCTGTTTCCTTCCAGCTTTCAAATTCCACTATTCTGGGAGCAGATCTTATGGTTGTTTTCATTCTTCTGCCCTTGCTACCACTTTCCAAATTAGGAATATAGAGAGGTAGAACTGGGGCATAGTTTCAAATTGACATCTCTTCTAAGAATAGTCAGTCACATCAATACATTGACATCCTCTATATCTGACTGGCTGACCTGGATTGAGGAAATAATAGTCACTGTGATTTTATTAAGGGTTTAACATCCCACATTTGTCAATAGAGTCTTCAATACTTCAAAAAACAGCCTATGATTTCATGAATATAATGGACATAAAAATTATCCAAGGATTCGTTAATAGGTACTGCTGCCAATCATACTTATCAATATGCAGAGACATTTTAATGACTAGTTTATTAGCTCAGCAAAGATCTGTGGTATTAAAAAAAAAACAGTGGGCCCCAAACAGTCATTGTAGCACCCTTATTTAGGTTTTAGTTACACTGGCAGGATGGTTACAATGGAATTTTATAGAGGACAGAAGGGGAAGGCAAGGATTTGTACGTGAAAGAACTGATAGTAGAATGGGAAGATCTGCATCAAGTAAAATTGTAAACCAGTCAGTAAATATTAAGGATAAAACTGGATTTTGCAGACTAACCATTAACAAAGGAACAATAGCTAGTTACTTGACCTGTTCATCTTAAGTAAATAGAGGTAATAAAGCGGAGCCAGAAATTCTCTTATCACTGACCTGTTGATCACTAGAGCTAAAGTTTGATCTCAGTTAAATTCCGCAAGTTTTAGATAATCATGTGACTTGTTGTACTAAGGAAATGGTAGTGACAAAGTCAATACTAAAATTCTCTTATGACCTATCCTTTCCACTGATGCAGGTCACATATAGTCTATACCTAAGTAGATGGTTTCAGAAATTGATGGTGTTAAAAATTTCATCCTCTGGTGGCCATCCAGACTGGTGAAGAGTCTTTCTACACTTAACTGGACTACTCCTTGAATAGCAATTCTATTCAGAAAGTCTGTTTTAGTCATCTATTATTTGCAAGACACAGCAAGGCTGGGGATACAATGACAAAAACAAAAGTCCCTGCCCTCAAGAAGCTTACATTCTAGTGAGGAGAACAACATGCAAAGCAGGGAAAGAAATATAAAATATATACAAAATAAATACACACAGATATGGAAACAGTCATAGGGCCAATAGTGAAAATGGTTCTAGCTTGTTAGGACCTGCCAGATGTTGTGCTTCAGTGACTTTAATTTTGAGAATATAAGGGCCTCCAGATTGCTTAACGAGGCACTAGAAAGGAACTTTAATGGAGGCATAGTTAACAAATTAATCTAGACTATGTAAAAGAAGAAGGACCAACTGGTTGAAGGCTCATCCTCCAAGGCCACGATTCTGAAACAACCTTGGCTATTCTACAAAATGGTGTTCTGCAGAGATTTTATGAATCCGATACTGCTTAATATTTTTGTCTATGACTTAGATGATGGAAGAAGGAAAGCATGACTTCTTTTTTCCCTCCCTACCCCATGGATGATGTCATTCCTGACTGGAAATGGAAGTGACTGTCCTGAGGACATTCTAGGTTTTTTTTTTTAGGCTGGATGCAGAAAAAATGCAGAGCAGAACTGGGAAATATGATAGGAAAATAATTTCCATGCGGTCAACTGAAAATTTACTCACTCATTTTGAGGAACATTTCTCATCCACGCACACACTACTCTTCTTTTGAAGTCTTCACTAATATCCTCCAAAGACACAAGAAAGGACCTAAAGTCTTGAAAGTTGTTCAACAGTTCCAAAATAGCAATTAGGGCAAGGGTGGTCATCTTGATAGGTGAGTCTAAAATAAAAGTGACATTCACAAAAGAGAGAAGCCATTGGAAATATTGTCAAGAATGGGAATAAAGTTCATTTAGAGACGAAGCTAGGCAGGGCGTTCAAGAAGGAAAAGAAAAATGTATTAGTACAAAATTTAAAAAATGCTACGTACTACCTGTGTGACCTTGGTCAAGCCAATCAATCTTGTTTCCACTTAACTATTTGCTGATGATGAATTCGTTCCATGTGCTGCAAATGGACAGCAATGCGAAACCAGGTGAATGGTCAAGTCTCCTAAATTTCAAATGTTGATTCAGATCCTCCACTAAAGTACTCCTCTGGTGCCTCACTATGGTACAGAGATAATCCTAGGTTTCTAAAGACTAGTTCTAAAAAGCCCAAGATATGGCAGGTCTCACCAATGGGCTCATTGCCAGGCTTTGTGTCTTTCATTAAATGAATATCCTTTAGATACTAAACCAGAGGTGGGGAACCTGCAGCTTGACTGAATCCAAATCTTGCAGAACAAATCCCTTTAATAAAAGGATTTGCTCTGTAAAACTTGGACTCAGTCAAAAGCCCACATCCAAGGACCCAGAAGGCCACATGTGGCCCTGAGGCCACAGGGTAGCCACCCTTGTACTAAACCAATCAGTAACCATTGATCAAGTGCCTGGTGGGAAGCTAATGGATAGAGTCAGGAAGACTCATCTTCCTGAGTTTAAATCTGCCCTTCGACGTTTACTAGCTATATGACCTTGAGCAAGTCACCTAACCCTGTTTGCCTCAGCTTTCTCCTCTGTATAATGAGTTGGAGAAGGAAATGGCAAACCACTCTAGTATCTTTGCCAAGAAACTCCCAAACGGGGTCAAGAAGAGTCCGACTTAACCTAAAATGACAAACCAACAACAAAAAGTACCTGGAGGTGTGCTACATGCTAGGAATACAGAAAGAAGCGAAAGGCCGTCCGTTTCCTCAAGGAGCTCACCATCTAACTGCTCTAACCAGACAAGTTTATCACTAAGTGGGAAGCAGAGTTAGAATCGTGAGGAAGAGGGCAGTGGTGATGCTGGAGCAGCTCCTGAAAAGCTTGTCACCTGTAGGGAGAGGGTCTGCATCAGGGAACCAAAGCCTTGTAGTGATGAAATCACAGACCTTTGAAGCACTGAAGTAAGTAAAATTCATGTGTGTGTGTGTGTGTGTGTGTGTGTGTGTGTGTGTGTGTGTGTGTGTAAGTGCACATACACACACATATACCCTGTGAGTTCATGAGTATAGTGAACCATCAATGAAGAATCTCTCTCTACCAATACAGATGGGTGTCTGCTCTATAATTTATCATCTTAGTGTTGCCTACATACATTCACACATATATACACACATGTGTGCGTGTACTGTATTTGTATATCAGCAGGTGTATTAGACCAGAACTGTGATTTCGTGATTTCATTGGTACGAGGAGCAGTGAAGAAACTCCGTCTCCTAGTGCAGGTTTCATGTGCTCTGTAGCTTAAAATCTCAGAGATACGTAAGAGTACTCACTCCTAGGTTAAGGAATGTGTTCGGGGGCAGCTAGATGGTGCAGTGTATAGTGCACCGGCCCTGAAGTCAGGAGGACCTGAGTTCAAATCCGGCCTCAGACACATAATACTTCCTAGCTGTATGACTCTGGGCAAGTCACTTAACCCCACTTAACCCCAACTGCCTCACTAAAAAAAAAAAAAACCCAAAAAACTAAAAAGGAACGTGTCCAAGATCATTACAATCAGTACATGTCAGGCAGTACCTGAACTCATGTCTTCCTGACTCTATGACCAACTTTCTATCTATTACCACCCATCTACAGGGACTTAATGTAGCAGACGTGTATATTATAATCATCTCTGTCTACCTAGAGCCTAGAGTCTGGAGCAGGTGATAAGACAAAAACAGAGCTAGCATACAAGGTAAAAATAGTAAAGCTTCAGTGTCACTTTCACCAGACTGGAAGAAGCCTCCCCCACCCTGGATGGATCCTTATGGAAAATCCGTGGAAAAACATCGATAAGTATGACAGAGGATGAGGTGGTGCAGAACTAGGAAAAGGACTGGCTCTAGAAGCAGAGGACCTGCATTCAAATCCTGACTCCAATGTTTACTACTTGAACAACCTCGGACACATCAGCTTAAACTTTCTGGGCTTCTGTTTTCTCATCTATAAATTGAGCTATATAGCCTCTGAGGTCCCTGCCAGCTCTTGACCTATGATCCTGTGGTGTGGAGGGGTTGCTATCTGTATCAGTGAAGGGGATTCCGTGCCAATCAAACCACCAGTTCACCAGAGGAAAACAATGTGAAAACGCAATGAGAGATGCAAAAAGATTATTGGAATTTAGAATAAATGGTCAAAATCAATAGCCCAACTATAACAACACTTTCATGCCAGATGATAAATATACAAAGTAATGACAATGGGAAAGGGGGAAAAAGAGAAAATGAGCCAATAGTTTTCACTGTATTACCATTTACAGTTCAGCACAGTGGATGGAACACTGGGCTGGAGTCAGGAAGACCTAAGTTCAGATATGGCCTCAGACACTTACTAGCTGTGTGACCCTGGGCAAAAAGTCACTCAACCCTGTTTGCCTCAGTTCCTCATCTGTAAAATGAGCTGGAGAAGGAAATGGCAAACCACTCCAGGATCTTGGCCAAGAAAACCCCAAATAGTCATAGAAAGTTGGGCCCAAATGAAAAATGATTGAATAACAACAAAAACAAAAACAAAATGTTACCATTCACAGTTAAGTGATAATAACTCATTTCGGCCTCTTTTTCTAAGTAAACAATGTCTAGCCAGAGACAAAAAAAAAAAAGGCTTTTCATGAGGTTCGTGAGGACCAATGACCAGATGATTTTGGATATTTTCCCACAAACTCTGGTCCTATTCATCGTTGATAACCATTCTTAGATTACTAGCTTCTAGTGGATTCTTGTCCTACAATCAAAATCCTTAGTCTTCTAATTGGATGACCTGATAATAAGGGGCTCTTTGGTTCAGTTCCAAAGGATGAAAAGAATAACCCTCAGAATAAGAGATGATACATTTTAGTACTTTCCCCATCCTCCCCTTTATTCAGTGTGATCACCCCCCACCCCCATGCCTTAGCAAAGGGTCATAAGCGGCTATGGCTGTAAAAAGAAAAGTATCATCCAGTTTCTGGCCTTCTGGTCATGAGCTTCCTGCACTCAGCTCATGACCTTCCTCTGCTCAGAAGTCTTCAGGGGCTTCTTGTTACCTAGATGATAAAATATCTACATCATTTCATTCTAACCTTTCCTTCCAGCTTTATTTCTCCTTACTTTCGTGTTTCCAACAGGCTAATCTACTTGTTAGGTTTTTTAAAATTTTCTTAGCGCACACTGCCCCTATCCATTCTACCTTGTCTCATGCCGATTTGCACAGATGACTTCTCTCTCCCTCCCACCCCCACCCATGCACCATTATATTATAAGCTCCTTGGGAACAGTGACCAGGTTGTTTCTCATCTTTGCATCCCCAGGGCCAGGCCACTCAGAATAATGTCTTCCAGCCAGCAGCTACTTCAGTTAATATTTGCGGAACTGACTTGTAGTAAACAATGCTCAAAATTCTGAACGTATTCTATTAAACTCTCACTAACAACACCCCAAAGCCAAGGAAGATCCCTCCCTTCTCATACTTTTCCCTTTACATAGCCAGCTCCCAAACTCCCCAGCTATAAACCTAGAGGCAAACGCTTTATTATTAGGGTTCACAATAATTCCTTAATAGCTCAGCTCTGAGACCCTTCATCCCTACCATCAGAACTGTTCAACTATGTGAATAACTTTGTTTTAGTTGAATAATGTCTACAACACTACCTTCAGTGGTCATATTTAATAGGTTGGGAAGTAGGTACCGAATAGCTATGTTACCTCTTCACAAGGAAAGTCAATGATGGAATTTCTATACCAGCAAAGCTGAGCATTTTCTTCCAAAGTGCTAATGATTTAAAGTGGCCATTTCAGTTTTCTGTGTTGGTAGAAATGCAGCTAAGTGGGGCAATGGATAGAGTGCTAGGCCAGGAGTCAGGAAGACTCATCTTCCTGAGTTCAAATCTGGCCTCAGACACTGACTAGCTGTGTGACCCTGGGGCAAGTCACTTCACCCTGTTTGCCTCAGTTTCCTCATCTGGAAAATGAGCTGGAGAAGGAAATGGCAAAGCACTCCAGTATCTTTGCCAAGAAAGCCCCAAATAAGGTCATGGAGAGTAGGACACAAATGAACCGCAACAACAGAAATGCGTTATGGAAGAGAGCTGCTCTCAATTTGGCCCTTCTCTAGTATTATGACTTGCCATATTTGTATGTGATTGTGTGATTGTGATGCCCCCAAATAGAGTAAGAGGTGAGGACTTTCAACAACACCTACAGGTGACCTAAAGTCGGCTAAGGGCTTCTTACGCTACTATATTCTCTTGTGGTTTTACTAGCCACTCAAAACATAGGGTCACAGAACTAGAAAGAGGCAACATGGTATAGTTGAGAGGTCATTGAACACCTAGGTTCAAATGCTGCCTCAGACAAAAGCTAGCTATGGAACTCTAGACAACTCATTTAACCCCACTGTGCCTCAGTTTCCTCATCTGACAAATAAAGGTATTGCATTTAATGGCCTTTAAGGTCCCTTCCAGCTATAAATCTGCGATCCTATAATCCCTAATTGGAAAGGACCTCAGACAGTTACATTTTGTAAAAAAAGAAAACTGAAGCCCAGAGAGACTGAGCGACTTGCCTAACGTCACAAGGCCAAGGCCATTGTCACACTGTTCATTTGATGGTGTCACTAAAGATGCCACTTGTGGCGAAACCCATTGCCATGCCTCTGTAGCAATTTTTCTGAATATGCTCTGAAAAATGGCATCATGGTGACTCTAACCTGTGGCATTTTTCAAACCCACTTTGGTCTATCACACAGAAGTGGCCTATATATAATAATAGCAGCACGTAGTCTCCAGCATGCTGAAATGAGGTGGGGGCGGGGCGTAGGGGGGGCTTGTGCTGCAATCAAAATCCTCTGTTTTCTGAGGTCGTATAAAAGCTTTTCTTAGCTCTCTCATGGCTCTCAATCTATGAATCTATGATAAATTGAGTTCTGTAACACTGCCATTGAAACTCATGCAACTCACTGTTGCTCTAGTTTAAAATATCTTTACCTCCCACCACCTGTGCACCTGACCTCATTCTAATAGAACAAGGATCTGTGATTTTATCAGTGTGAGTACTCCTTGGGATCAAAGTCAGGAATCCCTCTATACCTTGGTAAACAGTCTTCATGTGTCACTGAAAAAAAAATGCACCCCTTGAGGAACCTCTGTACCTTAGCTACCAGGCACCTCCATAGCGAGTACAGGCCATCTAGACATTTGTATCCACAGCCTTTGGACAGCTAAATGGCATGGTGGATAGAGAGATGGCCCTGGAATCAGGAGGACCTGAGTTCAAATCCAGCTTCAGACACTTGCTAGCTATGTGACCTTGGACAAATCACTTTCCTTGGTTTGCCTCAGTTTCCTCATCTGTAAAAATGAGCTGGAGAAGGAAATGGCAAACTGTTCCAGTGCCTTTGCCAAGAAAGCCTCAGATGAAGTCATAAAGAGTTGGACATGACAGAAATGATTCAACAACAAGCCTTTCCAATTTGGTGAGATATATCAAAAGCATTGCTCACATAGCACGGGAGGACCCGAGGCTTCTTCCACATTCCATTGAGCCATCAAAGGAGGACTTGAATAGTGGATACGTAAGTTTCTGACCTTCCAAACAGAAAATGGAAGCTTCCTGAGGGCAGGAACTATTGTCAGTTTTTGCTGTTGTATTTCTAGGCCCTAGCACATATTACAGGGGTGGGGAGCCTGTGGCCTCGAGGCTACCACTGGCCCTCTAGGTCCTCAAGTACAGCTCTTTGACTGAAGGCCACACGTGGCCTCGAGGCCACAGGTTCACCACCCCTATACTAGGAGCTTAAGAAATGCTTGTTATATTAAATTGAATTGAGAAGTATAACTCATTCTTGAGGCTTGGAAAAGGAGAAAATCAGGCTAAGCAATTGGTACCAAATGGGTGACAAAAAAAATCATTCAACTGATCTAAGCCCTGGGCGGCGTAATTAGGTTATTATCAAAACAGCTGAACTTAAGTTTTTTCCTGAGCTGTCATTTTAAATCAAAACCCCAGATGGGAAAGAAGTACAACATAAAGCAGAAAGATGACATCTGATACAGGCTCACAGTGTGAGATTCTATGGTTTTAACTGGGGGGAGGGTGGGAATCCAGGCCTAAGATTCCACTGGTGAAGGGAACTTTGGATGAAGAAACTTCCTCTACCAATGCAGATTGAAATCAGTTCTGAAACTACAACGTTAGAGAGTTAGCCCAGGGCCCTGAGAGGTCGATGATGTGTCTGGGGTCACACAGTCAGTTTGTGCCAGAGTTGGGAGCTGAAGCCACATTTTCCTGACTGTGAGGCCAGCGCTCTATATCCACTAGCACACCCTGAACTCTAAATAATCCTATATTCCTGAGCTAGTCTGGGACTGTATTTAATTTCACATCCAAATAAATGTTAGCATTTTATGAATTGTATATTAAAAGTATCGGGGGGAGGCAGCAAAGGAAGGGAACTGATGGCTTTGATTTTGGGTGGTGAGTTGTTGTTATTGTTTGTTTGTTTTTTAGCTTCCAAAACATAAAATAAATGTTTCCAGGTAAAATGATTCTGATTTTCCCCCCTCCAAATCATCTTCAGACTTTGGTGCTAGGACTCAACCATTGTCCTGGTTAAAAGGGTAACCCTTTGATATAGCAAAGTCATTCATAAAGAAAAGGCCGAATGACTACTTACTGGGAATGTTGTAGTGGGAATTCTTGGCAGTAAAGTGGCACAGTAGACAGAAAGCTGAGCCTGGGGTCTAGAAGACCTACGTTCAAATGGGCTGGTCACTCAGTTTCCTCATCTGTGAAATGGAGGTGATAATAATACTCTGTTACCTCCCAGGGTTGCTGTGAGGATTAAATAAGATGATAATTATAATGCACATAGCATATAAATGTGAGCTAATGTTATTATCATTGTTCCATTGTGGGTTGGAGTTGATGACCTCTGAGGTCCCTTCCTACTCTGAGATTCTTTCAGTCTCAGAGCAAAATTCTGCTGTGGCTAGACAGTCATCCTCGTTCCATGACTCTGAAGTGCTTGATCTCTGAAGTGAAAAAAGACTTTCTCAGAGGTATAGGTGACACAGCTAGGTGGCACAATGAATAGAACACCTGGCCTGAAGTTAGAAGGACCTGAGTTCAAATCTACTTCAGACATTTACTAGCTATTGAACACTGGGCCAGTCACTTAACCCTAATTGCCTAAAAAAAAACCTAATTGGAGCTGGGGGATAGAAATTGTTGGTAGACCTAGCATTCAATGAAGTTGCCAAAACTGTTTGCCAGCTGACAGTGGCTGTACCCCTCCATTTTATGTCAGCCAATGATCCTATTCAGAGAACAGCTATTGACTTAGTTTTTCCAAAACAAGCCTGGGATCTCCCACCTCTACTGCCTTGTCCTACCCTCTCCCACACCCCCACCAGGGGTAGAAGACATGATAGGAGGAAGGGAAGAGGGGCAAAGGACACAGCCAGCATCACTCCCCCAGAAAGGCAAGGTATGACCGATTCTTGGGATGAGGCAGGATACATCCAGAGGAACTTTGGGCCTTGGATGGGGTGAACTTTAAACCCAGCAGGAAGAGGAAAGAACCAACAAAACATGCCCCCCTGCTCCTGCACCCAGGGGGATGCCAGATTCTTGGTCACTCCTTTAGTCCTTCAGTGTTGGGCACCTGAGTTGTCCCACACATCTGCTTGATGCAAAAGAGGGTCAGGTGTTTTATAAGCCTGGTTTCCCTCGGGCACATCAGATTGGTCTCCCAGCGTGATCGAGCCAAAAAGCTCCCAATCAACAAGACTGTAAGGAGGGGAAGGGAGTAGAAATTCCAGCCAAAGAGACTAGAGATTTGGAGAGCTCCAGAAAAGGGATAAAGTGGGGATACCAGACAGGAGGGATCATCTCTAGAGCATATGAAGCCTGTAGTAGAAAAACTGGTTAAAAAAACCAAAAAACAGGTTTTTCAAAACTTTTTATACCAAGAAACTCATGAAGCTTGATTCCTAAGGTGTGTGGCAGCTGTGATCTGCGTCACCGACATAAGGCAGCAAGATTTGGAGTCAGAGGACCCAGAAGGTCCATTTAAATCCTGCTTCTGTTGCTGCGTGTTTGGCCTTGGGCAAGTCATTTAATATCTCTAGACTTCAGTTCTCTCAAGAGCAAAGTGAGGATTGTCAGTCAACATTTATTGCATGCCTGCTGTATTCTAGGCACTGTGCTAAGCACGGAGGATAAAAAGAAAGGCAAAAGACTAGCCCTGCACTCAAGGACTCACAGTCTGAAAGGAGAGACAATAATCAAATAACTATGCCAAGATGAATAAGAAATCATCAACACAGGGGAGGCACTAGAATTAGAGGGGATAGAAAAAGGCTTCCTGTAGAAGGCAGGATTACAAAGCCAGGGAAGGTAGTAAGTAGCAATGAGAGAGACCATTCCAGCTGTGGATGACAACAAGCAAAAATGTCAGAAGTCAGAAGAGGAAATGTGTTATTCAAGGAACAGCCAGAAGGCCAGTGTCACTGGATTGAAAAGTATATGGAGGGTGATAAGGCATAAGAAGAATGGAAAGGTAGGAGGGGCTAGGGCATGAATTACTTTAAATACCAAGCATAGGATTTTATATTTCATCCTGGAAGTGATCGGGAGCTGCTAGAATTTATTGAGTGGTGTGTTGTATATATGTGTGTGTGTGTGTGTGTGTGTGTGTGTGTGTGTGTGTGTGTGTGTAAGAGAGAAACAGAATCAGAGACAGGCGGAGAGAGACAGACAGAGATGTGGTCAGACTAGAAAAATCACTTTGGGGGCTGAGTAGGGATACTGGAGTGGAGAGAAATTTGTGGCAGGCAGACCACCCAAGAGGCTGTGCAACAGTCCAGGTATGAGGAGATAAGGATCTGTGCTAAGATTGGTGGCAGTGTCAGAGGGAAGAAAGGGGCACGGTTGAGGGATGCTGCAAAGATGAAATCAAGAGACCTTAGCAACAGATTGGATGTGGAAGGGGGTGATAGTAATGAGTCAAGGATGACACCTAAGCTGCAATTCTGGGAGACGGGAAGGATGGCAGTGCCAGTGATAGGGAAGTTTGGAAGTGGGGAGGGGGTTGAGGGAAAGGTAATCAGTTCAGTTCTGGACTTAGTGAATTTAAGTCGTCCACAGAACATCCAGTTCAAGATGTATAGTAAGCAAATATGACTCGGGAGGTTAGGAAAGAGGTTAGGGCTGGATAAATAAATTTGAGAATAATCAGCATACAGATGATCATTGAATCCAAGAGAGCTGATGAGATTACCAAGTGAAATAGTACAGAGGGAGAAGAGAAGTGGTCCCAGGACAGAGCCCTGTAGGACACCTAGAGTTAAGAAAGCATGACCTGGATAAAGATCCAGCAATGGAGATGAAGAAGGAGTGGTAAGATAAGTAGGAGGAGAACTAGGAAGGAATAGTGTCCTGAAAACCTGGAGAGGACAGAGTGTCAAGGAGAAGAGGGGGATTGACAGTGTCAAAGGCTACAGAGAAGTCAAGAAGGATAAAGATTGAGAGAAGGACATTAGATTTGTCTATTAAGGGATCATTGATAACTTTGGAAGAGTAGTTTTGGTTAAATGGTAAGACCTGAAGCCAGACTATGTAGAAAGTTAAGAGAGTGAAAAGAGATGAAGTGGGAGTACCTATTGTAGGGAGACTTCTTAAGGAGTTTAGCTGTTGCTGTTCATCCTTCCTTCTCAAAGAGGACCAAAGACATCAGGAGGGTGACATCTTGACTTGCAAGTGAATTGGATTTAAGTGAGGCAGAGCTGTGCAGTCACCAGCCTCGCTCTCTCCTCCAGAGTCATCTGAATCCAGTGGCAAGACATAGGTTAGGATGACTGGTGACGGTCCAGGATGCAGTGGGAGACCTTGGCCTTTTTAAACTAAAGTCTTCCCCAAGTCACAGTTTGTCTGAGGCAACACCCATGCACTAGTTAAAGGCTAGGTAAGAATTGAGGTAAAAGATGGCCTAGTTTGTCTTCACAAAAGAATCGGTCAAGGTGGGGAAGACCTTCAGAGTTTCTGGTCAGAACAGAAACAATTGGTATTTGCATTCACTCAATTTGTACACGTCTCAGGGACATACAATTGGGAGCTAATAGGGTTACAAGGTGCTGATCCAAAACTTACAACTGAAGGCAGTTCAAGGCAGTTTCAAGATGACTCAGGAGCATAAAGACATGTCCTCACCTGTCCCCGCCCCATACACACCTTGTCAGAGACAGAGACAGAGAGACAGAGAGAGTATGTGAAGGAACATGTGGGATATAGATCCTCCTTGAGGCCTTGATTCAGGTGCTCCATTGTGAATTCTAGGATCCTGAAGCATCAGGATGACAGCTTTGGTTGTGTTAGTTATACGTTAAACCCGTATAAAGGAGTTTAGCTACAAAAGGCCTGAAAGATATGGGATAATAGCAGGATTAAGTAAAGGTTTTTTGAGGATAGGGAGATGTGGACATGTTTGTAGGAACAGAGAGGCAGCTAGTGGTTGGGGAGAGGTTAAAGATAAGTGAGAAAATGAGGATGATAGAAAGGGCAATCTTCTGGAAGATATGGTATGGAAGAGGATCATTTGTGCATGTAGATAGATTGGCCTTGGTGAAGAGGACCACATAATGTGAGATGGGTGAAGGAGGATGTAGTGGGAGAAGGCATCTGGGTGACGTGGGATAAGGAGAAAAAGGGAAGAGGTAACTCTTGGCAAACAGCCTTAATTTTCTCAATCAAACAAGAGGCAGTGTTCTCAACTGAGATGGTAGGGAGAAAGGGACCCATGGGAGGTTTGAAGAGGGACAAAAAGGTTTGGAAGAGCTGCTGTGGAATTATGAATTAATTAGGGAGTTATAGAAGGATTACCCAGCAGCAATGAGGACGCAGTTGGGGTAATGTAACAGAAATTTGAAGTGGACCCAGTCAGAACACCTTCTCCACCTTCATTCAGCAGCACACGTGTAGGAACAAAGGCAGCAGATGATGGGAGTGATCCAAGGCTGAGAGATCCAGGGCACAACTGATGATATGATATTGGCAAGGGAACAAAAAAAGAGGATAGTGTAGAGTTGAACTGGCTCACCAATGAGTTATAATGGGGAAAGGAGGAAAGTAAGGCTAGTGAAGGGGAAATAGCCTAGGAAAGATCTGAGGGTTCAAGGGATTAGAGGTAACAAACAGTGTGAACAAAGAATAGGCAGAGAAGGAAATTCAATAGACTATATAATCAGATACTGGAATTTCAAAGTTCATGAACATGGAGGTTGTACATTTATGGGTGATGGCAAAATCAAGAACACGACCATCTTTCTGTGTGGCTGAGGTGGGGTTCAGGAATAGGTCTCGGGAAATGAGAAAATTTAGGAACTGAGAGGTTAAGGTGTTTGAGGGAGTATCAATATGTATGTTGAAGTCCCCTAGTATGAGGGCAGGAGTTAGAGAGAAGAGAAAGACTGTGAGCCAGGCACTTAACTTATTCAGGTAGGAAGGAGAATGTCTTAGATGTCTGTGGACACTGGTTACTAAGATTTTGTTTGAGTGGGTAGATGTAGCTTTACATGAACTGCAAAGGAGGAGAAAAGGGTACTGAGTAATGGCAGTAGGAAGAGAAGTGGAAGTGCCCGTTGGGAGCACAGAATATTCCTCCACCTTGACTAGTGAATTGGGGGAAATGAGTGAAAACGAAGCCAGTATGGAAAAGGTTCTGGGGCAGCTGTGTCATCGGGGGGAGTCGAGTCTCAAGGAGAACCAGAAGACGGAAGGAATGGGAAAGGAAATGATTTAAGATGAAAGCCAGGTTTAGGGTTGGATTTTGGTTTTGGGTTTTGCCTATGGAGCAGGCATTCCAGAAGGCACAGAAAGGGCATAAGATGACCCCAACATCTTCCACTAGCTTTAAGTCTAGACTTCTATGACAGGGAAGATCCCCACCTATACAATCATGAATCTTGGAAATATTTAAACTGTATTTTCAATGTATCAAATAGTTGTGATTTCATTAGTGTACTTACTTCCTCCATGGATATAAATTGCAACTCTTCCATGCCTTTGGAGATAGCCTTCATGAGTGCCATGGCCAAGAATCACATCAGGCAGGTGCCCATCTTTTGAAAGTGAGCATCTCCCAAATTAGCCCTGGTCCTCAGATGACAGACAAACATCCCATGACTGAATCTACTTTAAACTTTTTTCCATCTTGGTGGGATTTTCTGGAGTTTGCACTTCACAGGAAGAGCCTTTGAGGATTCAGGGCCATAAGAACACAGATCTGGACCTGGAAGAAACTTCAAAATAATAATAATGATAATGATAATAACAATAATAATAACAACTGTATCATACTTTAAGACTTGCAGAGGTATTAAACATGATCTGTTTGGCACCAGAGAGCAAAGTTACAAAGCAGAGCTATATTGAGTGGCTATTGAAGGAAAATAGATTCTGGCTCATTATTAGAGCTGTCCAAAACCAAAAATAATGTGCTGTTTGAAGGAGTACAATAGTGAATTTCTCAGCAAGTAAATAATAATAGCTAGTATTTATATAGCTCTTTAGGGCTTGAAAATCACCTTAGAAATATTATCTCATAACAACTCTGGGAGGCAGGTGCAATTCTTATTCCCATTTACAATTGAGGAAACTGACTTGCCCAGGGTCATGCAGCTAATAAGTGTCTGAGGCTGAATTTGAATTCAGGTCTTCCCAACTCCAGGTACAACATTCCATCTATGGTGCCACATAGCTTCCTCAGAGACCATGTAGTCCAAACCCTGCTTTTTATAGATAAGGAAACTTGGGCCCAGGGAGGTTGAGTGATTTTCCCAAGGCCACACAAATGATATAAAAAGTGGGACTGGAATCCGGCTCCTTTGACCCCACAGTCAGTTCTCTTTCTACTGTGTCAGGCCTCCATATCACCATAAGGTAATGTATGGAGCATAGAGGGAGATTGTAGTAGGGGAAATGTGTGTATGATTCCTTGAAGATTGGCAAAAAAAAGGGTAAAATGTATGTTCACTCTCCATCATAGACCTAGAGCTTAAAGGGGTTCTTAGAGGTCATCTAGTCCAGCCCTTCATTTTACAGATAAGGAAACTGAGCCTCAGAGAAACAAACTTTCCCTAGGTCACAGAAGTAACAAATAGGAGAAGTAGTTTTTAAGCTATTTTAGTATTTAATGTAATTTATAATATATTATTTATATTTTAGATAGCTTACATATTATTTATATAACATAGAAAATAATATATTCTATATAATTTATATATTATATGATAATAGTATTTAAACTATTTTAAAATCATATCTTTCAAATTACCATCAAGCGCCCTTTCCATTATACCATACTGCCTCTGAAGAAGATGGTGCAGTGGAGAAAACTTTGAACTTGTACATATTCAATGGTACTTCAAACCCTGGTTCTGCCATTTACTATCTATGTGACCTTGGGGAAATCACTGAATCTCTCTGAGCCACATTTTCCTCATCTATAAAATGGGGATACTAATATTAATACTGCCTACCTCATAAGGTCATTGCGGCAAAAAGCATGTCTGTAGCCTTTAAAATGTCATCAAAATGTGAACTCATTTATTCAAAAGGATCAGTGGAATTTACAGATTACAGGAAGAAGAATGCTGGTTGTTTATGCCTGCATATCATCTTTTCATAGAGATCTTTCTTATAATGTCTATTCGGCCCCATTCTTCTGCAGCAGAGGAGACCAGGTTCTCAGAATCCTGTGAAAAGGTATCCTCCCTTGACATCCTTTCTGGGCTTCCTCAGAAGGGAAGAATTTTTCTTGACCTTCTTGGTCCCACAAACCCAGATCCAATCCTGAAAAGGGACAGAGGCAAGAATTCCCACAGCTAGCCCACATGTGGTCACTCCTAAGTACTGTGCAGCTAAGAATGTCTGCAGAGCCAGGTGGAGCGTAAAGGCCAAAGGGCTGCTTGGGCAGGAACTACCCTTCACATCAGGCTTGTTTAAAAGGTGGAGGTGAGGGAGAGAGAGAACAAGGGAACATTTATGAAGTGCCAGGTGTATACTAGACCCTTTGCTAAGTGCTTTTATAGGTGGATGTTATTATTATCCCCATTTTTGTTGTTATTGTTGTCTAACCATTTTCAATCAAGACCAGCTCTTCATGACCCCTTCAGGGGTTTTCTTGGCAAAGATACTGGAGGGGTTTGCCATTTCTTTCTCCAATTCATTTTACAGGTAAGGAAACTGAGTCAAACAGGGTTAAGTGACTTGCCCAAGGTCACACAACTAGCAAGTGTCTGAGGGCAGATTTGAACTTGAGAAGATAAGTTTCCTGACTCCCAGGCCTGGGCACTCTATCCACTGTACCATCTAGCTGCCTTTATCCCCATTTTATAGTTGAGGGAAATAAGAGAAAAAGAGATTAAGTGACTTGCCCAGGGTCACAAAGCTAGTTCAGTATCCAATGTCACATCTGACTTCAAGTCTTCCCGACCCCAGGCCCAGCGTTCCATCCTTGTGCCATCTAGCTTCCTTATGGGGGCAGTCCGATGGGGAAGGGTGACCATTGTCTGGGGTGAAAAGAGGGAGAAAAGTGAAAGAACTGTTCAAGGACAGAGGTAAGATTATCAAGTGAATACCTGAAAATACAGTATTTGTGGCTGCTTTGAGAGATAACCTTCACTGAAAGACCTGCTCTGAAGCTTCCTTGTGACGTAGAGGGGACACTGTATTGTCCGTGAGAGAATATATCACAAGCTCTGGCAATTCCTGCCAAGCTAAAAAGGCCGGCTTCAGGGACAGGTACACTGATGGACTTACATTTGTGTTATGAAGTGCATAGAGTTCTGGTCTTGGAGTCAGGAAGACCTGAGTGCAAATGCTGCCTCAGATATTTTCTAGTTGTGGGACCCTAATCTTTCTGTGCCTCAGTTTCCTCATCTATGTAACAGGAGTGTTGGACTGGATGCCTCTAACATCCCTTCCAGTTCTAAATCTCTGATCCCAATTTAAAAAGGCTCATCACCAGGTTGGCTACATACTAATGACTTTTTGTTCCTCTACCATGCTAGCAGACTGTGGACTAAGCTGTAGAAAAGTCACAGTCTGCACGGGTGGAGAGAGCATTCATACCAGTGACTACAGAGCCTTCCAGTAAATAAGGGGGTTAAACTAGAGCAGGGCTTCTTAACCTTTTTCTCTTTCTTGAACTGTTTGGGCAGTCTGAAGAAACCTGTGAACCCCTTCTCAGAATAATATTTTTAAATGCATAGCATTGTAAAAGAAACAAACTAAATTTAAATGAATCTATCAAAACATTCTAAAAAACAATTTCATGGACCACAGTATAAGCACCCTTGAGCTAGATTTCTGTCTTTGAGGTCCCTTCCCGCTCTGGATCTACAATCCTATTCTGTACTGAAAATTTTAAACCTTCACCTGGGCATTAGAGATTATGCCTCAAGGAAATCAAAGTGGTAAAGTCTCTCTTTGGATAAGGAACAAAACCAATCAATCATTCAGAGGGGCTTTCGGCTGATAACGTTTCAGTGGGTTTTTTCTCCCTTTCTGTTTTACAGAGTAACAGACACCATGGATGAGACCTTAGACACACTAATGCTTCCAAACATGTGAAGATGAAAAACAAATTGTTTACACCGATGGGGTATTAAGCAAACAGACAAGAACTACCCAGTAGCCAAGACTACACCCATGTAGTTTAAAGCCATTATTCAAGATTTCTTACTTGACAGTTCCTACAGGACCCTGTCCAAAATCTACAATATATGCTGCATTTAATGACAACTGTAGCTGTCAAACTGGAAGGAAAGAACTATGAACATACATTGTTGAAAGAGAAAAATCAAAGAACCACTTTCAGCAGGTCAAGCGAAGAGGTGTCTTGGGCATGGAAGCAAAGTTACAATGGAACAATGTTCCCCTGCTGTGCAGGGAGGTCGTTTTAATGTAACAACAAGCCCCCATGAAAAACCAGTTCTAATAGTTTAAAAAAAACCCATCGTTTTAAAAAAGGGAGGGAGGGTGGAGGTGAGGTCACAAGCACGATGAATACCCTACAAACTGTGAGGAGCTATTTACAATAAAATATTAAATTTGAAAAGTCTGGTTTCTTCCTATAGGGATTCTCTTTTCTTTTTTCCTTTCCTTACCCCCCCCCCAATATTTTTTGGTTATTATTTTAAACTCAGGAACAGTGACAGCTGCAATGTGAACATAAGGAGAAACTCAATCTTTTTTCTCCCTTCTACATCAAGAGACAGATCCTGTACTCCATGTAGGAGACAGCTGGAAAGTGGATTATGGCAACAGCGGCCAAACTTATCACCAAGCTTATGACCCCCAACATCATCAATGAGGGACATTTGCCGCAGCGTCGGGGTTCTTGACAACGCTTGCCTCATTGCTCCTCCTGGAAGAGCAGACTAAACATCCGGCCCAATGATTTTAAAGATCAAAGAAGATCAGACCCTGAATCCTTACTCCTCCAGCATAGTTTAAAAAAATTCATACTTGGAATATAACTATGTAAGCATGGGAGCTTCAAGGTCAGAAATCATCTCAGTGTATCTGAAGCCCAAACTATGGCAGTTAGGATACTTGTTTAAGTTAGTTTGCTAAGAAGAAATTTCAATGATTTCAGTAAAAACAAAGAAACAAAACCTTTGGGATGAAGGGATTCTATGCACAGGTGAAGTTTACCACAAGGATGAAACAAAGGTGTTTGAAAAGGTAACTCAAACCCCTCTAAAAGCATCACTGGGGCGGCTATGAGATGTTGTCCTGTTGCTGTTTGGAGTGATGACACTTCACCAAGGTATGCCACCATCAAGGTGGTGCCATCTTGGAGAATGTATGGAAAATGCATTCTCAAAGACATTTTAAGCCGCTGAATATCCTGGAGACAAACGGATGATTGATATGTTCTTCCAGGTCATATAGTTCTGCCCTCTGGGTCTTGGTACTTTTTAAAAATCACGTGAATGCTTTTGAGAGGCTAATTTTATAGTTCATTTACTGTATATAACAAAACAACCTCAACTTTTCAAATCACCCAGTTTTTATTTAAGGGGTTAAAAATCATCATATGTAGAGATGGTGTATATTTGGGCCAAGATCTCTAAAGAATTCTCTGCAAAATGCTCTTTTCTCTTAGTGCTGCATGAGACAAGTGTCTAGCTCCTCAGCTTTAATTCAGGTCAGTGCAGAGGTAGAAAAGACAGAAAGGGCATATAGCTATGTGTGTGGTAAGAGCTCAGAATCTTCCT